TAATCCAGAGTTTTGAGAAGATTGGAGAAACTTAATTTTTCGCCCGAAAACGAAAAAAACGTAAGGGGTAACACTGTCGTTTTTTTTTCGGGTCGAAATTTTGAGTTTCGATATCTCAGCTCTGGAAGGGTCTAGAGCCTCCATTTTTGCACTCAGGTCAAAGTCTCGTGGCCCTCTATCATAATCCAGAGTTTTGAGAAGATTGGAGAAACTTAATTTTTTGCCCAAAAATGAAAAAAACGTAAGGGGTAACACTGTCGTTTTTTTTTCGGGTCGAAATTTTGAGTTTCGATATCTCAGCTCTGGAAGGGTCTAGAGCCTCCATTTTTGCACTCAGGTCAAAGTCTCGCGGCCCTCTATCATAATCCAGAGTTTTGAGAAGATTGGAGAAACTTAATTTTTCGCCCGAAAATGAAAAAAAACGTAAGGGGTAACACTGTCGTTTTTTTTTCGGGTCGAAATTTTGAGTTTCGATATCTCAGCTCTGGAAGGGTCTAGAGCCTCCATTTTTGCACTCAGGTCAAAGTCTCGCGGCCCTCTATCATAATCCAGAGTTTTGAGAAGATTGGAGAAACTTAATTTTTCGCCCGAAAATGAAAAAAACGTAAGGGGTAACACTGTCGTTTTTTTTTCGGGTCGAAATTTTGAGTTTCGATATCTCAGCTCTGGAAGGGTCTAGAGCCTCCATTTTTGCACTCAGGTCAAAGTCTCGTGGCCCTCTATCATAATCCAGAGTTTTGAGAAGATTGGAGAAACTTAATTTTTCGCCCGAAAATGAAAAAAACGTAAGGGGTAACACTGTCGTTTTTTTTTCGGGTCGAAATTTTGAGTTTCGATATCTCAGCTCTGGAAGGGTCTAGAGCCTCCATTTTTGCACTCAGGTCAAAGTCTCGCGGCCCTCTATCATAATCCAGAGTTTTGAGAAGATTGGAGAAACTTAATTTTTCGCCCGAAAATGAAAAAAACGTAAGGGGTAACACTGTCGTTTTTTTTTCGGGTCGAAATTTTGAGTTTCGATATCTCAGCTCTGGAAGGGTCTAGAGCCTCCATTTTTGCACTCAGGTCAAAGTCTCGCGGCCCTCTATCATAATCCAGAGTTTTGAGAAGATTGGAGAAACTTGATTTTTCGCCCGAAAATGAAAAAAAACGTAAGGGGTAACACTGTCGTTTTTTTTTCGGGTCGAAATTTTGAGTTTCGATATCTCAGCTCTGGAAGGGTCTAGAGCCTCCATTTTTGCACTCAGGTCAAAGTCTCGCGGCCCTCTATCATAATCCAGAGTTTTGAGAAGATTGGAGAAACTTGATTTTTCGCCCGAAAACTGAAAAAAAACGTAAGGGGTAACACTGTCGTTTTTTTTTCGGGTCGAAATTTTGAGTTTCGATATCTCAGCTCTGGAAGGGTCTAGAGCCTCCATTTTTGCGCTCAGGTCAAAGTCTCGCGGCCCTCTATCATAATCCAGAGTTTTGAGAAGATTGGAGAAACTTGATTTTTCGCCCGAAAACTGAAAAAAACGTAAGGGGTAACACTGTCGTTTTTTTTTCGGGTCGAAATTTTGAGTTTCGATATCTCAGCTCTGGAAGGGTCTAGAGCCTCCATTTTTGCGCTCAGGTCAAAGTCTCGCGGCCCTCTATCATAATCCAGAGTTTTGAGAAGATTGGAGAAACTTGATTTTTCGCCCGAAAACTGAAAAAAAACGTAAGGGGTAACACTGTCGTTTTTTTTTCGGGTCGAAATTTTGAGTTTCGATATCTCAGCTCTGGAAGGGTCTAGAGCCTCCATTTTTGCGCTCAGGTCAAAGTCTCGCGGCCCTCTATCATAATCCAGAGTTTTGAGAAGATTGGAGAAACTTGATTTTTCGCCCGAAAACTGAAAAAAAACGTAAGGGGTAACACTGTCGTTTTTTTTTCGGGTCGAAATTTTGAGTTTCGATATCTCAGCTCTGGAAGGGTCTAGAGCCTCCATTTTTGCGCTCAGGTCAAAGTCTCGCGGCCCTCTATCATAATCCAGAGTTTTGAGAAGATTGGAGAAACTTGATTTTTCGCCCGAAAACTGAAAAAAAACGTAAGGGGTAACACTGTCGTTTTTTTTTCGGGTCGAAATTTTGAGTTTCGATATCTCAGCTCTGGAAGGGTCTAGAGCCTCCATTTTTGCGCTCAGGTCAAAGTCTCGCGGCCCTCTATCATAATCCAGAGTTTTGAGAAGATTGGAGAAACTTGATTTTTCGCCCGAAAACTGAAAAAAACGTAAGGGGTAACACTGTCGTTTTTTTTTTCGGGTCGAAATTTTGAGTTTCGATATCTCAGCTCTGGAAGGGTCTAGAGCCTCCATTTTTGCGCTCAGGTCAAAGTCTCGCGGCCCTCTATCATAATCCAGAGTTTTGAGAAGATTGGAGAAACTTGATTTTTCGCCCGAAAACTGAAAAAAAACGTAAGGGGTAACACTGTCGTTTTTTTTTTCGGGTCGAAATTTTGAGTTTCGATATCTCAGCTCTGGAAGGGTCTAGAGCCTCCATTTTTGCGCTCAGGTCAAAGTCTCGCGGCCCTCTATCATAATCCAGAGTTTTGAGAAGATTGGAGAAACTTGATTTTTCGCCCGAAAACTGAAAAAAAACGTAAGGGGTAACACTGTCGTTTTTTTTTCGGGTCGAAATTTTGAGTTTCGATATCTCAGCTCTGGAAGGGTCTAGAGCCTCCATTTTTGCGCTCAGGTCAAAGTCTCGCGGCCCTCTATCATAATCCAGAGTTTTGAGAAGATTGGAGAAACTTGATTTTTCGCCCGAAAACTGAAAAAAAACGTAAGGGGTAACACTGTCGTTTTTTTTTCGGGTCGAAATTTTGAGTTTCGATATCTCAGCTCTGGAAGGGTCTAGAGCCTCCATTTTTGCGCTCAGGTCAAAGTCTCGCGGCCCTCTATCATAATCCAGAGTTTTGAGAAGATTGGAGAAACTTGATTTTTCGCCCGAAAACTGAAAAAAACGTAAGGGGTAACACTGTCGTTTTTTTCGGGTCGAAATTTTGAGTTTCGATATCTCAGCTCTGGAAGGGTCTAGAGCCTCCATTTTTGCGCTCAGGTCAAAGTCTCGCGCCCTCTATCATAATCCAGAGTTTTGAGAAGATTGGAGAAACTTGATTTTTCGCCCGAAAACGAAAAAAACGTAAGGGGTAACACTGTCGTTTTTTTTTCGGGTCGAAATTTTGAGTTTCGATATCTCAGCTCTGGAAGGGTCTAGAGCCTCCATTTTTGCGCTCAGGTCAAAGTCTCGCGGCCCTCTAATCATAATCCAGAGTTTTGAGAAGATTGGAGAAACTTGATTTTTCGCCCGAAAATAAAACGTTAGGGGTAACACTGTTTGTCGTTTTTTTTTTCGGGTCGAAATTTTGAAATTTGATATCTCAGCTCTGGAAGGTTCTAAGAGCCTCAATTTTTGCACTCAGGTCAAAGTCTCGCTGGCCCTCTATCATCCTCCTCATCATCATACAGTAGACTCAACAAAGCAGTATCGTCTGCATACTTAATAAGGTGCCTGTTTTGGTAAAGTGCTGGTACAAGAAATTCGTATATAAAATAAACAATAAAGGAGATAAAACACATCCCTGAGGAGAGCCTGTGCAAGTAGACATCTTGACCGAGAGAGAAGTTCCTGTCCTGACCTGCTGGATTCTACAACTAAGAAAATCAACAATCCAAAGAATCAAGCCAGGTTCAAGTGAAAATTCTGAGGCCAGTCTATCCGCCAAAATACTGGGCTGGATAGTATTAAAGGCCGAGGAAAAGTCCACAAATAAAATCTTAGCGTGGGTCTTTGGTTTCTCAAGGTGAGTGTGCAATAAGTGCAATAGTGTCCCAATGGCATCTTCAACTCCCCTGGAGGCCTGATAGGCGAATTGCAAGGGGTCCAAGAGATGCTGAGTTTCAGATACAATGTACCTCTTTACTAACTGCTCGAAGCACTTCATGACCAGCGACGTTAGTGCAATTGGTCGATAGTCATTTGGTCCAGTGGGTCGCTGAGTTTTTTGGCACTCGGTATAATTATGGATGTTTTCCATAGTGTTGGGACCTTGTGAAGGTTAAAAGAAGATCTAAAAAGGTCAGTGAACACTGGTGCTAGCTGTTCAGCACAATGTTTTATGACCCTTCCACATATGTTGTCTGGTCCTGAGCTTTTCCGAGAATTACATTTCCTAAAAAGCTGAAGGACTTCTGATTCCTTGATGGTGAAGTTAGATGAGAGAGGGAGACAAGGGAGTGGAAGGGGTAACCCAGTGGTTGCTTCCATACTATTTCCCTCTCGAAACGACAAAAGAATGTATTTAGCTGGTTTGCCAGATCAGGTTCATCACTCTGCAAAACCAGTGGAGAATTTCCCCTGCCTTGTGTGGAACATTGGTCATAATTTTAATTCCTTGCCATCCTCTCTAGGATTACCAGATGCCAGAGTGGCCTCTATCTTTTGTTTATAGCTATACTTATCCAGCTGTATTTGTCGTTTATCTGCCTCTGTGAGTCCCTCTCTCGCTGTTTCATCCTGATTTCTAAAAAGCTTTTTTCTTTTGAATTATAAGATTCTTTAGTTTGTTTGACACCCATGGCTTGTCATTAGGAAATACTTTAAAAGATGTAGGTATCACAGAATCTACAACAAAAGTTAATATAATCAGACACTGCTACAACATGATCATTAATATCAGGGCTCTTAAAGACATCCCATGCTGTACAGTCAAAACACCCCTGCAGAGCCATAATGCTGTCATTGTTCCACACTTTGACAGACCTTTTTTGAAGGCTTCTCCCTCTCCAGTAACCTCTTATAGACAGGCCGAAGATGAACCACAGTGTGTCAGATGCCCCTAGTGGTGGTAGCTGGGATGCTGTGTAGGCGTCTTTGACGGTTCCATAACACATGTCTAAAGACTTATTTTTCCTAGTAAAACACTTAACATACTGATAGTATGTGCGTAGATGTTTTTTAAGGGAACAGTTATTAAAATCTCCCAGGATGAACTTAGGAGCATCAGGTGAAAGTGACTCCAGATTCTGTGAGAGGTTAAAGAATCTCTGATGCTTTGTTGACATTTGCCTTGGGTGTATATATACACTGTAAGGAAAATTTGAGGAAACTCCCTTGGCAGATAGAAGGTCGCAGAGAAACACACAGCAGCTCGATGTCAGGAGTACAAAGTTTCTCTCTCACCGTAACTGCCCGGCACCACTCGTCCCTGATGAGGAAACAGACTCCGCCTCCGCGAGCTTCCCGGTGATGTTGGGGTCTCGGTCGGTCCTAAACGCAGAGAAACCTGAAGGTTCCACCTCACTGGACGCGATGTTACTATCCAGCCAAGTCTCAGTGATTGCCAAGACACACGCGCTCCTTATACTCGTACAGGAAGCGGGTTTAGCCGATAATCCTCTGTCTTCGCTCTCAGTGATTGCGCGTTGATAAGCAGTGTAGTAGGTAAAGGGAGTTTGTTTTTCATCCTCTTCAGTCGAAGTCGAATACCACTCTTACGGCCACGTTTACGTTTCGACCGATTATTCCCCTTCCTTAGGATTGGATTTGAGACAGTTTCGGTATCAAGTCCACAGTTAATAGTCCGGGGGGATGTGATTGCGGAGCAGCAATAGGAATTCTCTGCTGTATCGTATTTCACAGGGTTTGCCGCCGCAGCAGCATTGTCGAAGTTGCTTCCTTGAGCAAAGTATGTGTTAAAATCATAACAAGCAGTCCAATCACATACCATAAAAAAGATCCATGTTGTGGCAAACAGACAGACAACAAAACAAATGCTAACGTGAAAGCAGCGAGGCCGCCACAGAGCAGCCGCCAAACCCGGAAATCTGGCAAACTGGGAAGGGTCTAGAGCCTCCATTTTTGCACTCAGGTCAAAGTCTCGCGGCCCTCTATCATAATCCAGAGTTTTGAGAAGATTGGAGAAACTTGATTTTCGCCCGAAAAACGAAAAAAACGTAAGGGGTAACACTGTCGTTTTTTTTTCGGGTCGAAATTTTGAGTTTCGATATCTCAGCTCTGGAAGGGTCTAGAGCCTCCATTTTTTGCACTCAGGTCAAAGTCTCGCGGCCCTCTATCATAATCCAGAGTTTTGAGAAGATTGGAGAAACTTGATTTTTCCGCCGAAAATGAAAAAAACGTAAGGGGTAACACTGTCGTTTTTTTTTCGGGTCGAAATTTTGAGTTTCGATATCTCAGCTCTGGAAGGGTCTAGAGCCTCCATTTTTGCACTCAGGTCAAAGTCTCGCGGCCCTATCATAATCCAGAGTTTTGAGAAGATTGGAGAAACTTATTTTTCGCCCAAAATGAAAAAAAACGTAAGGGGTAACACTGTCGTTTTTTTTTTTGGGTCGAAATTTTGAGTTTCGATATCTCAGCTCTGGAAGGGTCTAGAGCCTCCATTTTTGCACTCAGGTCAAAGTCTCGGCCCCCTCTATCATAATCCAGAGTTTTGAGAAGATTGGAGAAACTTAATTTTTCGCCCGAAAATGAAAAAAAAACGAAGGGGTAACACTGTCGTTTTTTTTTTCGGGTCGAAATTTTGAGTTTCGATATCTCAGCTCTGGAAGGGTCTAGAGCCTCCATTTTTGCACTCAGGTCAAAGTCTCACAGCCCTCTATCATAATCCAGAGTTTTGAGAAGATTGGAGAAACTTAATTTTTCGCCCAAAATGAAAAAAAAAACGAAAGGGGTAACACTGTCGTTTTTTTTTCGGGTCGAAATTTTGAGTTTCGATATCTCAGCTCTGGAAGGGTCTAGAGCCTCCATTTTTGCACTCAGGTCAAAGTCTCACAGCCCTCTATCATAATCCAGAGTTTTGAGAAGATTGGAGAAACTTAATTTTTCGCCCAAAAAACGAAAAAAAACGAAAGGGGTAACACTGTCGTTTTTTTTTCGGGTCGAAATTTTGAGTTTCGATATCTCAGCTCTGGAAGGGTCTAGAGCCTCCATTTTTGCACTCAGGTCAAAGTCTCACAGCCCTCTATCATAATCCAGAGTTTTGAGAAGATTGGAGAAACTTAATTTTTCGCCCGAAAATGAAAAAAAACGAAAGGGGTAACACTGTCGTTTTTTTTTTGGGTCGAAATTTTGAATTTCGATATCTCAGCTCTGGAAGGGTCTAGAGCCTCCATTTTTGCACTCAGGTCAAAGTCTCCGGCCCTCTATCATAATCCAGAGTTTTGAGAAGATTGGAGAAACTTAATTTTTCGCCCAAAAATGAAAAAAAAACGAAAGGGTAACACTGTCGTTTTTTTTTTTCGGGTCGAAATTTTGAATTTCGATATCTCAGCTCTGGAAGGGTCTAGAGCCTCCATTTTTGCACTCAGGTCAAAGTCTCACAGCCCTCTATCATAATCCAGAGTTTTGAGAAGATTGGAGAAACTTAATTTTTCGCCCGAAAATGAAAAAAAACGAAAGGGGTAAACACTGTCGTTTTTTTTTCGGGTCGAAATTTTGAATTTCGATATCTCAGCTCTGGAAGGGTCTAGAGCCTCCATTTTTGCACTCAGGTCAAAGTCTCGCGGCCCTCTATCATAATCCAGAGTTTTGAGAAGATTGGAGAAACTTAATTTTTCGCCCGAAAATGAAAAAAAACGAAAGGGGTAACACTGTTTTTTTTTCGGGTCGAAATTTTGAATTTTGATATCTCAGCTCTGGAAGGGTCTAGAGCCTCCATTTTTGCACTCAGGTCAAAGTCTCACAGCCCTCTATCATAATCCAGAGTTTTGAGAAGATTGGAGAAACTTAATTTTTCGCCCGAAAATGAAAAAAAACGAAAGGGGTAACACTGTCGTTTTTTTTTTCGGGTCGAAATTTTGAGTTTCGATATCTCAGCTCTGGAAGGGTCTAGAGCCTCCATTTTTGCACTCAGGTCAAAGTCTCACGGCCCTCTATCATAATCCAGAGTTTTGAGAAGATTGGAGAAACTTAATTTTTCGCCCAAAAATGAAAAAAACGAAAGGGGTAACACTGTCGTTTTTTTTCGGGTCGAAATTTTGAATTTCGATATCTCAGCTCTGGAAGGGTCTAGAGCCTCATTTTTTGCACTCAGGTCAAAGTCTCACAGCCCTCTATCATAATCCAGAGTTTTGAGAAGATTGGAGAAACTTAATTTTTTGCCCGAAAATGAAAAAAAAACGAAAGGGGTAACACTGTCGTTTTTTTTTTCGGTCGAAATTTTGAGTTTCGATATCTCAGCTCTGGAAGGGTCTAGAGCCTCCATTTTTGCACTCAGGTCAAAGTCTCACGCCCTCTATCATAATCCAGAGTTTTGAGAAGATTGGAGAAACTTAATTTTTTGCCCAAAAAAAAAAAAAAAAACGAAGGGGTAACACTGTCGTTTTTTTTTCGGGTCGAAATTTTGAATTTCGATATCTCAGCTCTGGAAGGGTCTAGAGCCTCCATTTTTGCACTCAGGTCAAAGTCTCGGCCCTCTATCATAATCCAGAGTTTTGAGAAGATTGGAGAAACTTAATTTTCGCCCGAAAACGAAAAAAACGAAAGGGGTAACACTGTCGTTTTTTTTTCGGGTCGAAATTTTGAGTTTCGATATCTCAGCTCTGGAAGGGTCTAGAGCCTCCATTTTTGCACTCAGGTCAAAGTCTCACAGCCCTCTATCATAATCCAGAGTTTTGAGAAGATTGGAGAAACTTAATTTTTCGCCCGAAAATGAAAAAAAACGAAAGGGGTAACACTGTCGTTTTTTTTTTCGGGTCGAAATTTGAGTTTCGATATCTCAGCTCTGGAAGGGTCTAGAGCCTCCATTTTTGCACTCAGGTCAAAGTCTCACAGCCCTCTATCATAATCCAGAGTTTTGAGAAGATTGGAGAAACTTAATTTTTTGCCCGAAAATGAAAAAAACGTAAGGGGTAACACTGTCGTTTTTTTTCGGGTCGAAATTTTGAGTTTCGATATCTCAGCTCTGGAAGGGTCTAGAGCCTCCATTTTTGCACTCAGGTCAAAGTCTTGTGGCCCTCTATCAGAATCCAGAGTTTTGAGAAGATTGGAGAAACTTAATTTTCGCCGAAAAGAAAAAAAACGAAAGGGGTAACACTGTCGTTTTTTTTTTCGGGTCGAAATTTTGTTTCGATATCTCAGCTCTGGAAGGGTCTAGAGCCTCCATTTTTGCACTCAGGTCAAAGTCTCGCGGCCCTCTATCATAATCCAGAGTTTTGAGAAGATTGGAGAAACTTATTTTTCGCCCGAAAATGAAAAAAAACGAAAGGGGTAACACTGTCGTTTTTTTTTCGGGTCGAAATTTTGAGTTTCGATATCTCAGCTCTGGAAGGGTCTAGAGCCTCCATTTTTGCACTCAGGTCAAAGTCTCGCGGCCCTCTATCATAATCCAGAGTTTTGAGAAGATTGGAGAAACTTAATTTTTCGCCCCGAAAACGAAAAAAACGAAAGGGGTAACACTGTCGTTTTTTTTTCGGGTCGAAATTTTGAGTTTCGATATCTCAGCTCTGGAAGGGTCTAGAGCCTCCATTTTTGCACTCAGGTCAAAGTCTCACGGCCCTCTATCATAATCCAGAGTTTTGAGAAGATTGGAGAAACTTATTTTTCGCCCGAAAATGAAAAAAAACGTAAAGGGGTAACACTGTCGTTTTTTTTTTCGGGTCGAAAATTTTGAGTTTCGATATCTCAGCTCTGGAAGGGTCTAGAGCCTCCATTTTTGCACTCAGGTCAAAGTCTCACGCCCTCTATCATAATCCAGAGTTTTGAGAAGATTGGAGAAACTTAATTTTTCGCCCGAAAATGAAAAAAAACGAAAGGGGTAACACTGTCGTTTTTTTTTCGGGTCGAAATTTTGAGTTTCGATATCTCAGCTCTGGAAGGGTCTAGAGCCTCCATTTTTGCACTCAGGTCAAAGTCTCGCAGCCCTCTATCATAATCCAGAGTTTTGAGAAGATTGGAGAAACTTAATTTTTCGCCCGAAACGAAAAAAAACGAAAGGGGTAACACTGTCGTTTTTTTTTCGGGTCGAAATTTTGGTTTCGATATCTCAGCTCTGGAAGGGTCTAGAGCCTCCATTTTTGCACTCAGGTCAAGTCTCGCGGCCTCTATCATAAATCCAGAGTTTTTGAGAAGATTGGAGAAACTTAATTTTTTTCGCCAAAAATGAAAAAAAGAAAGGGGTAACACTGTCGTTTTTTTTTCGGGGTCGAAATTTTGAATTTCGATATCTCAGCTCTGGAAGGGTCTAGAGCCTCCATTTTTGCACTCAGGTCAAAGTCTCACTCTATCATAATCCAGAGTTTTGAGAAGATTGGAGAAACTAATTTTTTCCCAAAATGAAAAAAAAGAGGGGTAACACTGTCGTTTTTTTTTCGGGTCGAAATTTTGATTTCGATATCTCAGCTCTGGAAGGGTCTAGAGCCTCCATTTTTGCACTCAGGTCAAAGTCTCACAGCCCTCTATCATAATCCAGAGTTTTGAGAAGATTGGAGAAACTTAATTTTTCGCCCGAAAATGAAAAAAAACGAAGGGGTAACACTGTCGTTTTTTTTTCGGGTCGAAATTTTGAATTTCGATATCTCAGCTCTGGAAGGGTCTAGAGCCTCCATTTTGCACTCAGGTCAAAGTCTCACAGCCCTCTATCATAATCCAGAGTTTTGAGAAGATTGGAGAAACTTAATTTTTCGCCCAAAAACGAAAAAAAACGAAAGGGGTAACACTGTCGTTTTTTTTTCGGGTCGAAATTTTAGTTTTTCGATATCTCAGCTCTGGAAGGGTCTAGAGCCTCCATTTTTGCACTCAGGTCAAAGTCTCACGGCCCTCTATCATAATCCAGAGTTTTGAGAAGATTGGAGAAACTTAATTTTTCGCCCGAAAACGAAAAAAAAACGAAAGGGGTAACACTGTCGTTTTTTTTTCGGGTCGAAATTTTGAATTTCGATATCTCAGCTCTGGAAGGGTCTAGAGCCTCCATTTTTGCACTCAGGTCAAAGTCTCGTGGCCCTCTATCATAATCCAGAGTTTTGAGAAGATTGGAGAAACTTAATTTTTTGCCCAAAAATGAAAAAAAAACGAAAGGGGTAACACTGTCGTTTTTTTTTTCGGGTCGAAATTTTGAATTTCGATATCTCAGCTCTGGAAGGGTCTAGAGCCTCCATTTTTGCACTCAGGTCAAAGTCTCACAGCCCTCTATCATAATCCAGAGTTTTGAGAAGATTGGAGAAACTTAATTTTTTGCCCCGAAAATGAAAAAAAGAAAGGGGTAACACTGTCGTTTTTTTTCGGGTCGAAATTTTGAATTTCGATATCTCAGCTCTGGAAGGGTCTAGAGCCTCCATTTTTGCACTCAGGTCAAAGTCTCACAGCCCTCTATCATAATCCAGAGTTTTGAGAAGATTGGAGAAACTTAATTTTTCGCCCAAAAGAAAAAAAAACGAAAGGGGTAACACTGTCGTTTTTTTTCGGGTCGAAATTTTTAGTTTCGATATCTCAGCTCTGGAAGGGTCTAGAGCCTCCATTTTTGCACTCAGGTCAAAGTCCTCAGCAGCCCTCTATCATAATCCAGAGTTTTGAGAAGATTGGAGAAACTTATTTTTTCGCCCGAAAAGGAAAAAAACGTAAGGGGTAACACTGTCGTTTTTTTTTCGGTCGAAATTTTGAGTTTCGATATCTCAGCTCTGGAAGGGTCTAGAGCCTCCATTTTTGGCTCAGGTCAAAGTCTCAGTCTCACGGCCCTCTATCATAATCCAGAGTTTTGAGAAGATTGGAGAAACTTAATTTTTCGCCCAAAAATGAAAAAAACGAAAGGGGTAACACTGTCGTTTTTTTTTTTCGGGGTCGAAATTTTGAATTTCGATATCTCAGCTCTGGAAGGGTCTAGAGCCTCCATTTTTGCACTCAGGTCAAAGTCTCGCGGCCCTCTATCATAATCCAGAGTTTTGAGAAGATTGGAGAAACTTAATTTTTCGCCCCGAAAAAAAAAAAAAAACGAAAGGGTAACACTGTCGTTTTTTTTTTTCGGGTCGAAATTTTGAATTTTTATATCTCAGCTCTGGAAGGGTCTAGAGCCTCCATTTTTGCACTCAGGTCAAAGTCTCAACAGCCCCTCTATCATAATCCAGAGTTTTGAGAA